ATGAACTAGAGCCATGGACACAGCTCCTATCCCTTATTTCAACAGTCATTGACAGCCCCTGACACCCCAAGGAGATGAGCGATAAGCAGCTGATCTGTTCATAAACCTTCATCTCCAGGTGCGTTCAGATTTGGAGGGAAGTCTGATTCAGGTTTTGTGGGGCCTAAAGCTTAAACAGGAGAGGCACTGGTGGTGCAGTGGTTAAGCACTTGGCTGCTAACCAAAATGTTGGCAGTTCGAATCCACCAGCCACTTAGCGGAAGAAAGATGTGGTGATCTGCTTCCGTAAAGATTACAGCCTTGGAATCCTTCTGGGGCACTTGTACTCTGTCCTTAGAGCTGCTATGAGTCAATCTTCTTGACAACCATGAGTGTAAAGCTTTCACAGGCAGTGGTGGTTCCATGGAAGAATTCTCTCCTTCTGTGTGGGAGAGACCCATGTTTGATTCACGTGCAGCCATCACCTGCCTGTCAATGGAAGCTTGCATGTTGCTATGATGCTGAACAGGTTTTAACAGATCTTCCAGACTAAGATGGGCAGTGTACTTCTGAAAATCAGCCAGTAAAAACCCTTTGGATCACAATGGCCTGACCCCTAACTGATCATTGGGATGGCCCAGGACTGGGCAGCATTTCATCCCATTGTGCATGGGGTTGCCATGAGCTGGGGGCCGACTTGACAGCGGCCAACAGCAACAACAAAGCTTATGCAATTTGGGACCCTCTTTAAGAAAAAGAGTACATATATATCTTAGTTACCAACTGTCTATGCCCATCAGAGCCAGGTTCCAGGGCCCCTTCTAGGATCTTGGAAGGGGCCTGTGTAAGGGACAGAGCCTGAAGCTTAGGCCTCATTAACTTCACGGTGAATCTGCTTCTGCATGGAGCGCATGACCAGCTTCTAAACCCCTCAGTGCCAAGAGGGCATGCATAAGGTGGGGGTAAAGGTAATGGAGAAGGATTTATCAAATGGAAGGTGTAACTGATGAAGAAAGGAATTTCAGGTTCTTATCTGACTGGCCTTTGAACTGCTTCAGGTATACTTTCTTAAGTGTACCAAGCTTGGGGGACCCCAAACTCTATCTCTTAGGCTCTCTCTCGTAAGGGAGGGCCCACATCTTTGCCTTTGTTCACCCAAGTCCTACCCAGTATGGCACACCAACGAATGTCTGCTGAATGAATAACTGAGTGACTGTGAACGAGTGGATCTATAAATAAATTCACACTCTCATTTTAGATAGAAGGTCATTGTTGCTTACCTGCTCCAAAGGACTCTTTGTAAAAGGTTTTGAGTCATGTAAAGAAAGGCTCGAGTTCTTGGGTGGTGCAAATAGTTACGTAGCTTAACTACTAACTGAGAGGTTGGCAGTTCAAACCCACCTAGAGGTGCCTTAGAAGAAAGACCTAGTGATCTGCTTCCAGAAGATGATAGTCATTGAAAACTCTGTGGAGCCAAGCTCTACTCCTCACATACGAGGTGTCTGTGAGTTGGAACTGACTTGACAGCAACGGGTTTGGTTTTTTTGGTTTAAAGAAAGGCTCTATTAAATCCATTAGTGAAGCATGGACAATTAAATTCAGCCAGAGGACTATTTAAGTCATCTTTCTTATTGGATGACTAAAAACACTGTAGGCATAATTAAGAACATTAGACTACATTAAAAAGCAAATATCGTTTAAAGGGACTGGCTTTTCCATCTGGTTTCGGCAAGTGTTGTTCTCACACACCCAAAAAAGGCTAGACAGTGTGTTATCTGATCCGCTTTGTAAACCTACTTCTCTGGCTTATGTTACCTTAAGTTGGCCTGTTAAATTCTTTATTTCCTGACAAATACCTTTAAAACCTTAGGACCTGAGTCAAGTACAGCATATCAGAATTCATGCAGAAAATCGAAGCTGAGTCTGGAGCTCTTTTGCCGTGCACATGGTGACCTCACCTGGTCCTTTATGTACACTGATGGGGGTGGGGAGTAGAGTGTACAACCTGAGCCTGTGGCTGAGGGGAGGGGCGCGGTCCCTGTGCATTTGGTTTGTTATGAACTGGATGTGGGTCGGGCTTACATGAGGGATGTGTTAGACATGCTGGGGTTGGCCTGCGTTGGCAAAGACATAGTTTGATTTTTAACGTTTGTTCTCATGACCTTAAATATTTTAAGGCAGTGTCATGTAGATGAGAAGTTTCTAAACCCAAAGTCAAGAGACCTGGGTTCGAGTCTTAATTTCATTTCTAATTAGTTTTGAGATTTTGAGCAAGTTACCCAACCCCTCCATCTCTCTCTCTCTGTCTCTCTCTTTTGTTAATCTGCAAAAAGAGACCAGTAAGGACTAGGCTACTGCACCCTGGCTATGAGTCTCAAAACAGTGCTTATCAAATGCCTTAGGAAGGTGTAAAGTGACTTTTGAGTTGTAGCATCTATGATTCTGTTACATAACTATATAATGTTACTATCTTCTCATTTTAAAGCCAAGAAAACAGATTTTGGTGGAAAGTACAGTGTTCTTTCAGCCATCCCAGGGAGCATCATGAATATTATTAACTTTTAATTAAAATGGCATAAAATGTAAAGGAGTAACCCAATCTCTCAGTTATTCAAGTTCATTTCAATGTGAAAAGTGTACAAAACAAAAGATCCAGTCAAATCTATAAAAAGAAGTCCCCTTTGGCCCCAGATGACTGTAACCCTTAAGGTCAAGCAGCTGAGTTGCTAATGGTGAGCGATACAATGCCTGACAGATGACATGTACTCTCAGTGTGGAAGACAATGGACATCATTATCTGGACATCACAGTCATACCTATGTAGGTGTCCTGAAATTTTGGTATGCTGGTCTTTTTAATGATGCTGACTGGCATTCCATGAATGAAATTAATAATGCCAACCCCATTAATGTAATAGGGCTATTGTTTTCCTTTTAGAGGGTTTAGACACTTCAGAACGGGACCAGATAGTAAATATTTTAGGCTTGGTGGGCCATACAGTCACTGCTGCGACTACTTAACTGTGCCACTGTAGTGTGAAAGCAGTCATAGATAATATGTACACAAATGGGTACGGCTGTGTTCTGACTTTATTTACAAAAACAAGCCCAGGCCATATTTGGCTCAAGTGCTTGAGATGGCTGACCCTCTGCTTGGGATATCATAAAGACATCACCAAGTCCTGGACCTCCTCACAACCTCGGGCTGCAACTCACCCTCTGGCTAGTGTCCATCAGTTTTTAGTGCATCTCCAATCCTACAGCTAAGCAAACATAGAAAGTCCCAAACCTTGGAGAAACCATCAGCCCACGAGATCATTTGGGCAGCAACTTCATATCCCAACATGACTATATAAAATTTTACATCTTTCTCAAAGCATTCTTTGTTAAGCAAAGCATTGTTTAAAATATAATATTCAAGCTTTCAAAATAAACCAGTGTTCTCCAGAGTAAAGCTGCTGAAATTTCTTTGGGAAAGGAGGAGAAGTGCTTTCCAACTCCTGGAAACGCTTTGCAAAAACTCAACATGGTGCTGGTTTCCTATTTATACGTGATCGAATTTGCTTTTTGCTTTCTTCTAATAGAAGCCAACTCATTGCCAAAGTTCATTGCTGTTCTAAGTTGAAGTTCACCTATTAGTCCAACTTCTCATCCGCTTTATTACTCTCTCTCTCGTCCTAGCATGCTTGGAAACGTAGGGAAGCACTGTCAGAGGACTTCAGAAGGGTAATTTTCAACTTTAGATCTCCATTTACCTGTACTCGATTAAACAACTCATTCTCAACCCAGGAACTGCCCTGCTTTACTGTGTAGACCAGGATAGAGTGGAACTGAAGATGAAACGAGCCTTTTATTCCTTATACTGCATCTGGGAACGTGATTTCTGAGATACTTGATTAGGTTTGAAGTGGAGTCTCACAGATCTGGGTTCAGGAAAGCTTTTGTCTGAACTTCAGTTTTCCCATCTACAAAATGGGTTAATACTTGCTTTATAGGATTGATATATGTTGTAGTTGTCAGTTGTCATCAGTTCAGCTCTGACCCATGGTGACCTTATGTATAACCGAAAAAAAACTGCCTGGTCCTGCACCATCTGCATAATCGTTGGTATGTTTGAGTCCATTGTTGTGGAGGTATTAATTAATGCTATTACTGTTGCTTTTTCCACATTCTCCTTTATGCCCCAAATTATATTTGTTTGCCCTATTCTGCTAGTAGTTTTTGACTCTCATGTATATTCCAGTGAACTGCCTCTGAGCGTTTCGTAAGCGTATACACACATGGAAGGCATGTAAGGGGAAAGATCTCTGAACGAGGAAAGACTAATTGTAGAAAAATTGATTAGACAGAAAGAAATTGTAGTCCCCAGAGTAGTTCAGGGTCAGTAAGTTCATCTGTTTTATTTTCTTCTGGAAAGGAGCCTTCAGCTGTGGTTTAAGAAACTAGAACATAAGCTTCTTGAGAGCAGAGACCTTGTCACTTTCATCCACTGGTGCCCAGAATTGTTCTTGCCACCCGGTGAGCACTCAATTAATATCTGCTCTTTCAACTAATAGCTGAGCATGTTTAGATATGATTTGCTTTTATGTTAATATGAGAAGCTGCTGGAGCTTTGCACAGGGAAGAAGCAGGGATTCTAAGGAAAAGGAACTTTAACATTAGATATGAGTGGCACCATTTACCGACCGTTTCCCTTGAAGCATGCGATTTGTGAAATGATAATTCAAATTCCCTGATATGAAAATTGATCTGAAGTAGGCCAGTGGGAGGCCCAACTGCCCATTCCAGTCCAGACACTATACCTTGAGGTCATCCCAACAAAGTTGCCTTTAATTTTCACTTTCCTTCTGGAAAGAGAAATCGTGCTCTTGCTCAGAACTTAAGGAGCATCAGCATAGTGCTGGGTACAATGAGGTGAAGAGAAATTATGTTTCGCCCAGATTTCAAAGTCTCCCCTTGGGCATTCCTGTTCTGTGAAAGTGTGAAAAAACATCAACACTACCATTTAATTAGCTCACGTACCTGAAAACATCATCATGTGCTGAAAGTTCCAGGGGATCTTCTGTTTTCGGCCCAGATTCAGGAAGAAGGAGAGGGGATATATGTTGCAGGCTCTGGCCACAAAAATTGCTAGCTGTGGATAAGCACAGGGAAGCATCAAGGAAAACGTGGCTGCAATGAAGTGAGAACGCTTAAGCTTCAAATCTCTCTTTATATCATGACCCAGGAAGTAGGAATAAACGTGTCAATACATGTATGCTCAACTCACTTCCAAAACTCATATGTCGATGTCAATTCCTTTCCAGAAATAATAGAGCACGCTGTCCTTCTTTGGATACGTACTTGGGTTAAAATTGTGGACCCAATGCCATTTCAATCCCTGTAAATTTTCTCATCACATTTATACTGCTGATGACTGACTCAATCCTGCTGTGAAATGGGAGGCAGAGACCGTTCAGGTGATGTGGCGTTATCTTCTCAAGCAGCGCTTGGGAAGGAGAAAGGGACTCCTGCTCATGATTGGCATCTGATTTTCCATCAGTTTATGCTCTCTGTATCGAGCAGGCTTCGCTTACTTTTTTTCTTTTAGTGGATTTAATTTTGAGAGGAATTGCCTGTCTAAATGTATAATACAACTACTGCTTTAAGAGGTCTTTTACTAAAATCCAAGTTTTACAGGTGAAAATATTGATAGTATTCATCTCTCCCTTTTGTCACCTTTGACTACTTCCCTGATAGTCTATTTATTCTAATTTGTCCTCAAATGGGAGGGAGTCCTTTTTTTTTTTTTTTTTTGAAAAGGGAGCTTTCTTTTGAGATCCAAGTTTTGGATGCAATTTGAGAGTTTAGCAGAATGCTTATCAAAAAGAGAATAAAAGGCAAATGCAGGTGCTTAGTTAGAAAGGGTCTTACAGAGATGTTGGGCTCTCAAGACTGTTCCGATTATCTGCTCGTTCTCTGAGGGTCTTTCTGCCCATTTTCCGAGCAGGAAGAAAGACAACAGCTGCTGAGTGTCCTTATAGATAATCCCACTGGTTCAATATTCTTTCAGACAGACACCCATTGCCACTAGGAATGTTTTCTTCCCAGGCTGGAGCTAGAATAGTCCTCTGCATTAAAAGTAAGGTCTAGATTTTATCTGCACTGCGGCTTACAGAAAAGGTGCTATCTTATTAAAATAAAGTCACATTGTATAATGCTTATGATGGTGAAAGCACATTCATCATGCTAATTTTATTTAATCTTTATTCTGTCTACCCTATTTTCACAGACCTCCTTGGAATAAAAAGATTTTACCATCTTGCAATGAAAACATTTCCAAAGCTCAATGATCCTGCTATCAGGAGCATCTTCTGATACTCTCCAATGCATATTAAATCCATTTCTCTATGTTGAATAGATCAACATAATTTTTCACGTAAATAATTCATAATTTTAGTTAAACATCTTTTGAATACTTGAAAAATGTTGTTCCCTTTTGGTTTTTCCCTCTTGATTTCCCTCAGTGTTTTCTCAATGTCTTTTCCTAAACCATAAGCATTTAATAAAGGCCACAATTTCTTAGGGTGCTTTTCTGCTCTAGCTAGAAATTACTTACCTACCTTGAATTTGAGCCTCATAGCAAACCTGAGGAAATTACTTTAACAATTTAACAGAATTATCAGAAGACCTAAGTAGTTTGTTCCCTTCCCTAACCACCCCATGAGCTCTATTTCAAAGGATACAAAGGCTCCAAGTATAAAAAGAGCATTAAAGATGTGATTCTGGAATGTGAACAGCGCCAGGCCCATGTAACAGAAGATGACATTCTCAGCCAAAAAGTTCATAAATTCAAACAACTGAAAACAAAACAGAAACAAAATCCATTAATTATGACTCAGATTTGAGTCCACTGAATTTCTTCTAACTATCTTTGATGACTGAATGATCCTCCTTTATCTGGGAAAGCCATCCCTGCAGCCTTGGGCTCAGCCTCTAGAGGGCGCAAGGGCCCTGCCTCTTCTGTCAGGTCAGCTGACTCTGCCCTGGCTCTCCACCTGTGACATTTGCCATAGCCATGTCAACATCTCATTCTTTCCAACTGCAAGGCTGCCAGAGATACCCCTGGGTAATGTTAATCAGCATGATCCTTCCATGGAACAATTCCTTCTAAGATGACAAAATATACCCTGTTAAAGAAACTGAAGCTAAGTAATTTGCTTAAGGTTTACCGTCATAAACAATGCAAAGCTTGTTTAACCCCTTTTGCACATCACCCAGTAGATACACTTAAGTCCCCAGAATCTGAAGAACTAAATTTAAAAAAAAAAGACTTTAAGTAAATTATCTTCCTAAGGCAGACAGGAAGGAAAATTCGGGAAACTTGGAATAAGGATGAATGCAGATTATATTTCAACATTAGAATAATCAGTATATTTCAAAGCCCAGACAAGGAGACTCATTACATTGACTGATGTAGGTATATCCATTAAATGTCTACAATTTCTAGCTGGTGAAAAGAAAATGATTAATCCCAGCGATCAGTTTATGTAGCAAGAACACAATAGATACATCAAACTCAGTCAGAAGAATGGAGTAATAATATGCTATGCTCAGGGATGTTCCCAAGTGTTATTCTTAGACCATTAACTAAACAATTTAAGTTGAAGGCGAAAAATATTCTCCGTATTCCAGATTAAAAATACAAGGGAAAATCGTCCAGAGTCTACAATAAAGGCCGATGTGGAAGAGACTTTGTTTTATGTTCTAGACTTTTCCTTTGAAGTTTCTGAAACTTCATTCCTGGACCTACATAAATCTCCATGTTAGGTAAACATCTCTGGAGGTATTTCTCTTGACTTTTTAAGGACTCATTATTTTTCATGTAATGTATTTACAGCCCCACAAATAATGGCCAATACCAGTTCACTGACAGTTGACAGAAAGAGAAGCAGAATATTGTCAGAAACATTATTTAAAACCAGTAATAGAAGGAGAGGATTAAAAAAGACATAGCTCTTTCAGTACAAGATGGTCTTTCTGCAGTGGCAGCGGTCATTAATTATCCAGAGCACTTGTTTTATTTTCTAGGCCAGCTCATCAAAACAAAACTGTCACCCAAATAAATAAAGGAAACATGAAAACATGGGGTGGAGATATATGAAACGGGGAGCACTTTTCTACCTCATTATATCTTTACTTTTTCAAAAAGTGAGATTTGGCTATCTAGTTTTAGCATTAAAGAAACAAATGCTGAGGCTAAATCCATTTCTCCGTCCCCATCCCAAGTATATTTCACCCCAAGGTGGACATGTTTGCAGCCTGAGACCTATTCAGCCTTTTCTCAGTGTCTACATCCCAATTTCCCTCTGAAGATCCACTTCCTTCCCCATGGGTTGACACCTCTGTATCTCAAAAGTTGTTGTTGTTGTTAGGTGCCATCAAGTTGGTTCTGACTCATAGCGACGCTACATACAGCAGAACGAAACACTGCCTGGTCCTGCACCATCCTCACAGTCGCTGTTATGCTTGAGCCCATTGTTGGAGCCATTGTATCAATCCATCTCGTTGAGGGTCTTCCTCTCTTTCAATGATCCTTTACTTTACCAAGCATGATGTCCTTCTCTAGAGACTGCTCCCTCCTGACAACATGTCCAAAGTATGTGAGACAAAGTCTCACCATCCTCCCTTCTAAGGAGCATTCTGGCTGTAATTTTTCCAAGACAGATTTGTTTGTTTTTCTGGAAGTCCATGGTATATTCAATATTCTTTATCAACACCATAATTCAAAGGCATTGATTCTTCTTCAGTCTTCCTTATTCATTGTCCAGCTTTTGCATGCAATATGGCGACTGAAAATACCATTGCTTGGGTCAGGCGCACCTCAGTCCTCAAAGTGACATCTTTGATCTTTAACACTTTAAGAAGGTCTTTTGCAACAGAATTGCCCAATGCAATACGTCATTTTATTTCTTGACTGCTGCTTGCTAAATTTATTTAATAATTCTCATAGTTTATCTATAGATTCTTTTGGGTTTTCACAATCAAATTGTTTTCAAATAAAGATAGTTTCACTTCTTCTTTTCAAATCATTATACATTTTGCAACTTTTTCTTGCCTCATTACACTTGTTAGCACATCTAGCACAACATAGAATATAAGTGATAGGGGCGTCTTTGTGCTTCTCCCGGTATCACAGGGAAAGCTTTCAATGTATCGCTACTAAATTCATAGAAACTCTTTAACAGATTGAAGAAATTTCCTTCTGTTTCTAGTCTGCTAGGAATAGACATTTTTTTTTAATGACGAGCATGTTGATTTTTATCAAATGCTTTTCCTCCATTATTAAAAAGGTCATATTTGTTGTTTTCTTTTATTCTTTTAATGTACCAAATTCCATGAATTGATTTTCAATTGTTAAAACTAATTTGCATTCCTGGAATAAACCCTACTTGGTCATGATGTATTATCCTTTTTTATATGCCACTGAATTTACTTTGCTAACATCTTGTTTAAGATTCTTAGGTTTATATCAACTAAACAGATTGGGAATGTTACCTTTTCTATTCCTTAAATACATAGAAGAATTCTGGCCTGGAGCTTTCTTTGTAAGATAATTTTTTTCCCTTAAATTTTATTTATCTTGTTGTTGTTGTTGGGAATATGCACAGCAAAACATACACCAGTTCAACAGTTCCTACACGTACAGTTTAATGACAGTGATTATATCCTTTGAGTTGTGCAATCAGTCTCACCCTCCTTTTCTGAGTTGTTCATCCTCCATTAACACAAACCCAGTACCCTCCAGAGGTCCTATTGAATCTTTCAAGTTGCTATTGTCAATTTGATCCCATATAGATAGTTCTTAAAAGAGCATAATGTTCAAGGCAGACATTTTTTACTAGTTAAGCTAAACTATTATTCAATTTTAAGATAACTTACGGGGATATTTTTTGATTTAAGGTTTAAAGGTGTAGGATGATTTTTAATTATAGATATAAATAATTGTAATAGATACAGGAATAGTCAGATTTTCTATTTACTTTTGTATCAGTTTTAGTAAGTTGTGTTTCTCAAGGAATTTGTCCATTCCATGTACAATGTATATGGAATTTTATTGGCATATAGTTGTTCATAATATCCTCAATATCTATAGGGCTTGTAGTTATGTCTTTCCCCCTTAACATTCGTAATTTGTATCTTTTTTATTCTTGACAAATCTTGCTTAGGGGTTATCAATTTTATGATGTTTTCAAGAAGCAACATCGGCTTTGTTAATTTTTCAACATTGTACTCCCCCCAATTTCATTAATTTTTCTCTTTAATAGTTCTTGCCTTCAGCATAATTTAGTTTTATTTTATTTTTTTTTAATTCAGTATGTTGGTCCTTCAAGTCCTAGATGCCTTGGTTACTTTTAAATTTCTTCAAACATCTGCTTTTCTGTATTTTATCCAGCTTTTATAGTTGCTTTCTGAAGAAGAGTTGCTCTAACACCTCATAGCCAACTTTTCTTATTTTTTTTTTTAGGTGAAATTTAGTATCATTTTATCAATTCTCACCCTCTTTCCTCCCAAAATTATGGTATTTTATTTTGCATCACATTGGATACATATATTAATTTAGAGAGAAAGAACAGTTTTACAATACTGTTGGGGAAAAGAGAGACTATTTAGAAAAGATTGCAGAACAAGTTAGCTAGACATTTGGGAAAAAAAAAGAACAAAACTAAAGATGTATTCCTCACTTACTCCTTATACCAAAATAAATTCCAGATGAATCAAATATTTAAATACAGTCAGGAAATTCTTTATAAGCATTGTTTAAAAAAAAAAAATCAAACCCATTGAGGTCGAGTCGATTCCGACTCATAGTTAGTATTAGCAAAAACCTAGAAACAAATATCCATAATATGAGAAATGGTTAAATAAAATATGGTACTTTTGTATAACAGCAGACATTTTAAGGAGTTCTTCATGTGTTGATAAAGAAAAATATCTACAATCCTTTGTTAAATAATAAAAAATGATTTGGAGAAATAAACTATAGGTTTATGTATACATGACTCCACCTGAGAGTATTTACACAGACATCTATTGATATTGGAGCCCTCGTTAAGAGCTCTGTTGCTAATCAAAAGGTCAGCAGTTTGAATCCACCAGTCGCTCCTTGGAAACCCTATGGGACAGTTGTACTCTGTCCTATAGGGTCACTATGAGTCAGAATCGACTGGATGGCAATGGGTTTTTTTTCTATTGATAATTTTTCACTTTCCATGTATAGCCATCTGTTTTATTTATTTTTTACCATGAGCATATATTACTTTCATAGTTTAAAAAACTAGATTAAATAAGAACCAACATTTTAGAGTAGACTAAAAAACTTGGCAAATGTCTTTGCCCTTTAATTTTCTTCAGCAACAACTCTTTTAAAAATTTTTCAGAAAGCTGTCAAGCATTTTTTTCTATTTCTAATCTTATCTTGTTAAAAAAGATTTTAAGTAAAGAAAAATGCAAAGAATAATAACAACAACAACCAAAAGGATTGTCTTTTTGCGTAACATCCTTTTCAGAGATTTCTCTATTCGTATGTACACAGATGTATAGACAACATGGAAACTCTGGTGGCATAGTGGTTAAGAGTTCGGCTGTTAACCAAAAGGTTGGCAGTTCAAATTCACCAGGCGCTCCTTGGAAACCCAACAGAGCAGTTCTACTCTGCCCTATAGGGTTGCTATGAATTGGAATTGGCTCGACAGCAACGGGTTTTGTTTTGTTTTTGGTTTACAGACAACATGCGTAATGGTACATACATCTGACCATAATGTTTATATAACTTACTTTAATTAACTCAATAATATTC